GTTTGACAACAACATCAACAAGAAAACAATATTGACCATAAGCCTAAAAATTCAATGCCACCTGGAATTCATATTTTTCAGTCAAGTAATCAACACATCGTATCGACTAAAATATACAACAAATATTCTGTATAAATATTCGGAAAAATCGACTAAATCCTGCTAATTAATCTTTCGCTAATTTACCAACATTTTCTACACTGCACTAATCTTATTAAGTCTAGACAGTTACTGCTAGTATAAATACTACTTGTTACTAATATCTCACTGTCAAACTAGTACCATTACTCTCAGTTATTAAAAATACTACTTGTTACCAACATACACCACCTGTTATCCACTTAATAAATTACTATTAGTTACTACATTGATCTTCTGCCAATTTATTCTACTAATTACTTTTACCGGTAATTCTCTGCTAAATTATTGCATCTGTTATTAATATACTACTCTGCTAAATTAATTGAACCATCCTCTGCTACTTAACATCTTTGTGCAAATTTAATTTCTAGAACACCATTGTTATTAACTCTGCTGCTACTGCTACTCTAGATACCAATAAGTGTTAATCTAACAATTACCTCTGCTAGGTACCAACAAATCTGCTACTTGGTTTAAATTAATCTAATGGGATACTATTATAATTAATTAAGCTAATTCTGTAACTTATTAAATCCATCTCTTCTAAATATTGATTTCTACAATTAATCTTACTGATAACTCTGCTATATACTGCTACAAAAAATGTCTCTGCTAATTCATACCAATACTACTACATGAAGGCTCCACTACAATAGTAAGAAACAAAACAACCAAAATAAAATTGAGACAACATGTGCCCCTCGGCACCATTGTCCTGTTGATCGGCATGCTCCCCTTTCAACATTGTGCCGGTCGGCACCCATGTCATAACAATAAGAAACAAAACAAACAAAATAAAATTGAGACAACATGTGCCCCTCGGCACCATTGTCCTACTGATCGGCATGCTCCCCCTTTCAACATTGTGCCGATCGACACACATGTAATGCCCCTCAGCATGTATGTTTCCATCCTCCCAGTCTGTTACTGATTACTAATGTATAATTTTCAGTTTCAGGCCAACCACATAGAACCACACAGCAACGTAACAACTATATCAACATATAATTTCCAACAACAAATTCATCGATTGATTCACTGCAAATTCCTCGAAAAATCTTATTATGGTAACACCAACTCATAACAACAACAATTACACATACAACAACATTCTCACAACGATAATTTTATACAGACCAATCCCTGTATAATATTTATCATATACCCTTTTATAGAGTCAGAACTCCACCCTTACCGTGGATTGGAGACCGTCCTATAATTCTTCGGTCGAACCTAGCCTTGCCAAAGTTTTCAACTTTTGTCTCTTTTGCCTCTTTTCCTCTTTTTCCTCTTTTCTGCAATTCTGCAACTTCTCACGTTCACCACAAAATACTCCAATACTTGTTCAATAACCCAATTCCTTATAATTAGCTTAAATTTATAATTATTAATATTATTATTGGGCCTAACTTTCATACTCCACTTTTACTACATACAATCATATAATTAAGCCCAACAATAAATCTTATAACCATTCTAATGTTATTATTAATATTATTCCTAATATTAATCAACCAAATAACAATTTAGCAACTTAAATTAACATTTCTTGATATTTCGCAGCTTCAACAATTTCAACAACATTCTCAACCATTAACCCATAATTAATTTAATTAAATAATTAATTAAATTAACGGGCGTTACACTTTTACCCACTTCAAATACTTCAATGCTTCAGTTAAATTGACTGGTTCAACATCTGAATAGAAAGCATAATGTATCAACTCACCTTTGTTATCAACCACATCATCTGATGTAATCACACAATCTTGCAACCTTGAAGGCATGCGTCTTGTTCTTTGAGGTCTGCTTGCACTTGGCTGATCTATAACTGCTGGATTCTCTTGTCGAACTTCTCTTTCGACTTGAGTTTCTAGTTCTTCAAGTAGGATTCCCACTGAATCTTTCTTGACATTTTCAATCCAATCCATTCTTTAAGCTCATTTATGATCACCTCCCTGTTAATCACAATCTGCTTGTTCACTGGGTCGAACAACTTGTAACCTCCTGTCGAATGATATCCAACTAGAATCATTTGACTTGACTTGTCATCAAGTTTTCTTCTCAACTGATCTGACACATGTCTATGTATAATCGATCTAAATACCTTCAGATGACTCAAGCTAGGCTTTGTACCAGACCAACATTCTTCTGGAGTAATTCCTTCTAGCTTCTTCGTAGGAAATCTGTTTAAAATATATGTTGCAATCGACATGGCTTCACCCCAAAACTCTTTAGGTAAATGCTTGTCTTTCAACATACTTCTCACCATATTCACGATGATTTGATTATTCCTTTCTACAACTCTATTCTGATGTGAAGTGTAGGGTGGCACCACCTCATGCACAATCCCTTCTTTTTCACATAACTTATCGAAGTCCTTCAACACATATTCTCCACCACCATCAGTTCTCAAAACTTTGAGCTTTCGACCAATTTGTCTTTCGACCATAGACTTAAACTTGACAAATACTTATATCACTTCACTTTTCTTCTTGACCAGGTAAGTCCATAGTTTTCAACTGAAATCATCTACGAATGTAACAAAGTATTTGTTACCTCCAAACGAATCCACTTGAATTGATCCACATACATCAGAGTATATGACTTCAAGAATAGCCTTCAATCTGCTTTCTGCATCTTTGCTAAAGCTATTTTTGTGCTACTTCGCCTGCACACATATCTCATTTGGAATGTCGATTTCTGGAAATCCTCAAACCATATTTCTTCTATTCAAATATCTGATGTCTCTGAAGTTGAGATGGCCTAATCGATAGTGCCATATTCATTCATCTCTGCTAGCTGCAGTCGAAAGGCACTTGTGCTCCATCACATTAAATTCAATCTTGAAGGTTCTATTTTGAGACATGGGAGCCTTCAAGATTAACCTTTCATTTGCGTCGACGACTCTCATCATCTTATCTTCGATCGAAACTTTGTAATTCTTTCCGACCAACTGCCCTATACTGAGCAAATTGTTCTTCATGCCAGATATGTACAACACATTGGAAATTACTGACTTTTTTCCATCTTTTCTCATAACCATAACATCACCAATACCTTCAGCTGCTAGGATATTGTCATTTGCAAATTTCATCGTGTTGTTCATCGAGGGTTTTATGTTGATAAACCAATCTTTCCTTCCAGACATGTGTGATGAGCATCCCGAATCCAAGTACCATTGGTCCTTGAATCTATTTTCATCTCTTGTTGTAACCATCAACATCATCTCTACTTCTTCATGTTTTGCAAACTTTACATCACTTTCTTGATTCTTTCGCTTTTATGGACAATCACTCGAATAATGACCATATTTTTGATAATTATAACACTGAATGTGACTCTTGTCAGATTTTCAACCACTACCTCTTTGATTGTCTTGGTATGGTCTTCTCTGATTCGACACGTTTTCTTCGTGCGGATTTCCTCTACCAGTCGAATTATTGTAGCCACCTTTACCTTTATTGTCGAACCACTTTCCTTTGCCTTTCTTGTCTCTTGCTGATTAAGCTTACAAAGCCATATCATTCTTCGATTTTCCTGCAACTCTTTCAGCCATTCTTTGTTCGTGAGATTCAAACGTCCCTTGAAACTCTTCCTTCGACAAAGATGACATGTCCTTCGACTCTTCTATGGAAACTACCACATGGTCAAACTTCGGAGCCAAAGATCTTAAGATCTTCGACACAACTGCTCTTGTTGTTAACGTCTCTCCACAAGTCTTGATTTGATTCACTAGTTTCGTAACCCTAGTGAAGAAATCAGCTATGCTTTCGCTATCTTCCATCTGAAGCAATTCACACGTTCTTTTGTGAGTTTGTAACCACACCTCTCACCTTCTCGGTGCCTCCAAACGATTTCTTCAGAATCTCCCAAGCTTCTTTTGTAGATTCAACATCACTAACCTTTTCGAAATTGTCTGGGCTGACACATTAGTGAATTATAAAGAAAGCTTTATAATTCTTCTTCTTCGAATCTTTGTATTTTGCTTCTTCTTCTTCTGAAGCGTCTTCATCAACCTGTTTTAATCCATGTTTCATAAGATCCCAAAGACCTTGAAAACAAAATATAACCTTCATCTGTTCGCACCAATTCTCATAGTTATCACCTTTAAGAATTGGGAGACTTGCTGGGAAATTTTTGTTAGCGTAATTCATCCCCGTCGTGAATTTCTTCTTCTTTCTCTATCGTTCTTGATCGTTCTTCCCTATAATCACTCAACCAGAACTCTTGATACCAAATGTTGAAAATCCACCAAAATCTATGATGAATTTCTACCAATCTTGATGCTCAAGATTGATATCACCACACAATGACAATGGAAAAAAAATAAAAGATGAAGAAAGAAAGTATTTTTCTGCAGAATTTCTCTCTGTCCACAAACTGTGGAAAACTTTATTATTCACTTGCAACTGCAAATTCTGGAAATACAAAGAATTGACTTGATTACAAAAATAAGGGTTACTTCCTCTATTTATAATTTTAGGTTAGCTTGCTCCCTAAACCAAAAGTCCAAAACTATAAAAGTCTAAAATACCTATTTTGAAATTAAATCAAATCTATTCTATTTTAGATCTAAATCAAATCTATAATCAAATTTGTGTGCAGTATCTTCGACACACCATGTTTCGACACTTCCTTATCTCTATCGAGCAAACTGCTTCGACACAAGAAATTACTTTCAACAGATTTTAAGTAGCCTGCACATGTGAGTTTAAACAATTGAATAGATGTTACAAATACAGAGAAAAATCAGACAGTGAGATACTTCAAATTAAATAGAGATGTGATAGAATGATCATTGATTTCTTAATTGCAATTAGAAATGTTTTCACCTAGTAAATTTCAGTAAGTGTTCATCTAACCATGGTTATATTCATGCTGTTTTGAGTGAACTGTTAATACAAAAACAAAGAAAATTAACCCTAGACGCATCAAATGTTGCAGATCAAATTTACATTTATATTGTTATGAGAGGGAGAGAGAGAGGGGTCAAATACTTCATCTTGCACGCAGCACCTGCACTTAAATGTCAAGATGTTTGTAAGAGTTTGAGATATGCATGCCATTTCATTGCTGCATTTTCCAACCAGTATAAACACTTTCAGTGTTGTCCCAAACAAGGGGGACAAGGGGTTGCAAAAGAAGCACAAAAATCAATGAAAACATTTGGAACATAGCATTGACTTTGTACAAAGAAAAAGAGATGAGAAATGAAAGAAAGACATGAAAATATGGCCAGGAATCTGGATATGTCATACAAAGACACTTGAGGTACTTTAAATTGATCACCTGGCCGAGCATTGATTACATCTCTCTGCGTAATAGGTTTCTCAAATCACAGCTAACTTTGAGGGATAAAGTTTATGTCAATTTAGTCTTTCACCAAAGAAAACAACCAAATCTTGCTTCCTACGACACTCATTGCAATTGTGGAAGCTATATAACCTAATGCTAAAGAGCAATATGATCAGCCATTATCCTCCAAGTAATGAACAGAGTTTTAAAAGAAAGTCTGCAACCACAATTCAGCAACGGCATAAGGTTCTATCTCTCTATGACAACAATGTGACCGTGATTAAGGCCACATCAACTACATTTTACCACAATTATCTGTAATATCAAAAGATTGCAACGCAAACTCAACCGCATTTTAAAACACTGGTAATGAAAGCATTCAGCCAAAGAAAAGAAAACTCTTTCAACACCCTCAAATTCAACCCATCACTAACTTATTTCCTCAATCACCTTCACGCTCACCACCAATCCTTGCACCAAAGAAAATAACAAGCCAAAAACAATATTCGTTCATATAGGAAAAACATAATTTATTACAGTGTTCAACATAACATTCAACCTTTACTTACTAGAACTAGAATAGCTCAATTTACGGAAAGAAAAAAAATTGACTAAACTAAGAACAACAGGTTTAGTGTTTTACAGAGATGTAGAGTGTTATGCTTTTCCTCCAAGTGTTTGAATAATAGCTTCCAAGAGTTTGATGTCATTATCACGCTTTGTGATTTCTTCTTGCTTTGCACGCAGTTCTTCCATATGCAGCTCAAACACCTCTGAAGTAAAAAAAAAAAATTTAAAAATCAGAAACTATTAATTAGGTTACAGATCACAAATGTTCGAATTGATAATCACATTATTCGAAATTATGATTTATAATTAGGAACAACAGCATCAAAAAATAAATCAGATGCTATTAATTAGGTTACATATCACAAATGTTCAAATTCATAATCATAAAATTCGAAATTAGGATTTATGATTAGGAACAACAGCATCAAATAATCTTCAAAAATTAAATAGATATATTGAATTAATTAATTAAACGTGATGCTAGGTTAATACTTGTGGTGTTTTCGAGCTCTTTGGTGACTTCGTGAGCGCGTAATTCAGCGGCTTTCTGTGACGCTTCAGCTTGTCGTTTTTCGGAGCGAGCGCGAGCGGCGGCGGTGATGGCGGCGTCGAGTTCTCTTTCCAGTGTGTGAACTCGTTGATCGAGAAGCTTAATTGTACGGGCTTGATCGGCGGCGAGAGAAGCTTTAGCGAAGGTGTCGTCGTCGACGAAAACGGCTTTTGTGAGGAGAACCTTCTGGAGAGATTCGAGATTCGAACTCATCTCTGATAGATTCGTCATCGCTCCGCTCCATCGTTCTCCTTTTTCTTTCTCCTCCATCTCTTTGTTGCTTCAACAACCTTTCTATCTGATTTCATCTGGTGGTTGCTTTTACTTTTGTAAAATTAAATTCGTATTCTGTTTATTAACAAATTTTACTGTAAAAGTAGTTAAACTTAGGTCAAAATCTAGTTTGCTAATTTTTTTTGAGCTAGTTAATAATGGTATTTTTTAATTAGAAAAATATATTTTTCAATTCAAGATAGCAATTTAAAGTTAGGTTGTATTTTTCAATTTAAGATAGCAATTTTAAAATTTAGGTTTAATAATGCCATAATGTTTATGAGGTTGTGCTGAATCTTGTAAATTTAACTTTTTTTTTTTTTAATTTGTAATTCATATATAAGTTAGATATATTAATTGTTAAATATATTTAAAAAATTAAATTTACTTATAATAATAATTGGATGGAATATATCACTAATACTTTTATTAAATGAATAGACTACCTTGATAAAAATAACTAAATAGAGAATAAGAGTGAAAAAGATTTAAAAATAAAATAAATAAATGAAGTTTATTAGACAATTTGTCATGAAGCTAATCAAGGTGTTGTTTTTTTAAGAGCAAAAAGAAAAATATAATAAAACTGGGTATAAGTAATGTCAAAAGAGAAGATATATAAAAACTTTCTTTTTAATACTTTTTCAAATAGTCATTCTTTTATTGAAATGACTGGCTAATAAATTCTTAATATAAGAAATAATCAGACTAAATTCAGAATTGTCATCCTTATTTATATGGATTGCTTGGACCATCATCTCTGAGTCACTCTCAAACATGATGTGTTCCATTTGCATATAAATGACTGCATGTATAGCTTCTTTCAAAGTCAATGCTTCAACCTCTGACAGAACAAGTTCTAAAATCTTAAGCTACTCCCGCATTCATAAACCTTCCATTGCTATCTCTAAAACGCCGACATTTGTTCGTTGCTCTCCTTTGGTTATTAAATCTGGCATCCATGTTGCATTTCACTCATCCTTCTCGTGATGGTTCCCAAGATTATTGTTGGTGATCATTCTCGGTACCTTCTCAGTTGTTTTGTGCTATAAACCAGTCCTTCCAATTATATAACGCTTACCACCCCAATTGACTTGCATCCATCTTCTAATTATTCCAAACCCAATTCTTCTAAAGCACCCATAACGTGGTGGCCACTCTACCCAGTAGTCTTTCTATCATCCTGACTACATATGTAATCAATTAATGCATTTGCTACATTAAAACTTTATATCCTTGTAGCTATGACTGCGCTCAAGTCTGCTCCATTCAAACATTGTAAACTTTATGTACAACCAAATAAAATGTGTCACTCATCTTCTACTTTTCCTTCACATAACTGAAAAATAACCGGACATGGAACATGGTGTTTACAAAGTCACACTCGAGTTGGGAGGCACTTGCGGCAAATCCTCCATAATAAGTGTTTAGCCTTTGGTGGTGCTCTAATCTTTCACAGACTACACTAATCCCCCACTATACTTTGGCCTCGTCTATCATTTTGGACACACTTCAGCATCTTGTAACTAGTATTGACATTATAATACCCATTTTGTTCCTCGTTCCAAACCAATTAATCCTCTCCTACATAACCTAAAAGGGGAACATCTAAAATTTTCTTGGTTGCATCATGTGTAAATATTTGTCTAACTTTATGTGCATCCCATTGCTTAACATTGTTTAGCATAAGATTACTAACATTAATATTGTACACACCTTGGTCTTGTGGTGCACTAACTCACCCATTTCCTTCACTCCTCAACCATGGTTCAGACATCGCCTTAATTTTGCTACCATCTCCAATCCTCCACACACATCCAAGGGTTAAAACATAATGAGATTTCCACAAGATTCTCCAAACATAGACAAGATTATTCCCAAGATTAGCCTTAAAGAAAGAAGAGCGATAGAACTACCTTTCTTTAAAAATTCTAGAAGCCAAAGTATATGGTTTAGTCATGATATGCCATCCTTGCTTCTCCACCAGCGCCATGTTAACAGCCTTAAAGTCACGAAAGCCAACCCCACCTTCATTCTTAGAATATGTCAACCTTTCCCAGGACATTGTTGCTGAAATATTAGTAATCAAAAGTGTAAGTATTTATTTTATCGTATTCTTGGGGACTGATGTGATATCAATGTCGTTCAATAATTATTATGATTTTAAGCGGAAGGTTGCAAGATGTTTGAAAGTTTAAAGTTACAGAATGTAAAACAGAGGAATGAAAGATAAAGAGAGTTTCAGAGATATAAGAACTTGTCAGGATTAGATTTCATCCAACGATACAAAGAGAAAAGTGAATATGAACATGCATCAATCGTGATTTCCCAATGATTGAAGCTAACCCATCTCTCGATATTTAAGATGCACCATATCTTGTTGTTTTCTAAGCCTCTCTCTCTCTCTCTCTCTCTCTCTCTCTCTCTCTCTCTCTCTCTCTCTCTCTCTCTCTCTCTCTCTCTCTCTCTCTCTCTCTCTCTCTTCAGAATGTAATATGTTATATTGTGTCCCATAAAATTTGAAGTTAAAATCTATTTATACAAAATAGAAAAATGCAAACCGCGCTAAGCACAAGTAGAGCTTGCTTACCGCGACTAAAAGAAAAAACCTAAACCGCCACAAACGACACTAAGCCCAGGAAAAGGGTGATTTACGCACTACCCTCTTCCTTACCACCTCAAAGCACGCTTTGAGTGCGCCAAGCCCAATCTACAACTTTTGATTTTCTTCCAAAAATGCATCTTGAAGCTTTTCTTTTGCCTTTAATTCTCAATGCTTCACCACTGCAAGGAAACCTACCAAATGAGATGCAAAATCAAACTAAATAATATTTACATAAAAGTAGAGGTTTTGACTTTTTAATCCAATGAAACCAAGTGAAAAGAGCCACAAAATACTACTAATTATAACCATAATTTGGCCCTTACCAATCTCCCATACTTAGAACATTGTTTGTCCTCAAACAAGAATCTTACAAACCTAAAGAAACAAAAGTAACCTCCAAGAAATCATGATCAAACAAGTTTTGAGAAACGAAAACAAATTCATGCACTACTACAAATAACGCTTTTCATGATGAAGCTTTCATCTCCAACATGCTAAAAACCGAGAGGATATGTCCTGGGAGCATAATATTTTATTTTTTTAATAAGATAAACATCATGTTACGTCGGTGTTATAAACAACCAAGGTAACATAACTATAAGTTAATGCCTATTTTTTTCATAAAAATAAATAATAAACCTGTTATCTCGATTATCTTTAGAACTGAGGTAATATAGCTATAAGGAACCTCGCTCCGAATCCCAGTTGCCTCATATAAAACTTTTTTCAAAGATTTATCACTTGTCGTCTTTTTTTTGTTTAACAAGAATAGGAAACAATAGAAAAAGGAAATATTTCATTGATAATAAAAAACACAACAAAGAAAACTACTCAATAAATTCAAACTTCTCAGTTCACTCGACTACAAAATCACCCCTAACTAT